TAGGGAGGTATTTGTGGGGGGTGTTTTAGGAGTGGTTTTTGGGGGGGAGGGTTTAGGGAGGTATTTTGGGGGGGGTGTTTTTTTGGGGTACTCACTGTGCGTGTCATCAGGGTCACATGGCCGGGGGACACCGGGGGGACACGGGGGACACCCCCCGCCCCACCCTGGCACCTGCGGGCACGGAGAAGGTCCTGCCTCAGTTTACCCTTAATTTGCTTCAGGATCCCCCAAATTCCCACCCCCAAAACATGGAAAGGATGGTCTGGGGCCCCGGGATAGGGGATTATTAGGGAGGGGGATGGGGAGTGCTCGAGGGTTAAAATAGAAAGAGTGGGAGGAGGGATTGAGGAATAACAAAAATAAATAACAACAAAGGAGAAATAAAGGAAAATAAATAAAAGTGAAAAATCACATGGAAAGAGTAAAATGAAAAGGAAATAAATAGTAAAGAAAAATGTGTGAGAAAAGAGACTGACGTGGAAAGAAATTAAAAGAAATAAAGTGAAGGGAAATAAAGGGAGATAAAGGGAAAATCTGAAACAAAATGAAAGGAAGTAAAAACAGGAAATAAAGGAAAATAAAACAAAAGAAAATAAAACATAATAAAATGAAATTAAAAATCAAAGTGAAATAAAATTAAAAAGGAAAATAAAAATAGAAAAGGAAAATAAAATTAATTAAAGAATAATATTTTTTAAAAGGAAAAGAGGATTAATTAAAAAATAAAAATAAAATAATAAAATAATAAAAGAAAAAAGGAAAATGAAACAAAACAAAAAATGAAAATAAAAATAAAATCAAAAAGGGAAAAAATTTTAAAAGGAATATGAAATAAAGTTCAAAAGGAAAATAAAAATAAAATAAAAAAGGAAAAGAAAATAAAATAAAGGAAAAAAAATAACATAAAAATGAAGGCACGGGGGATAAAAGGAAAGAAAAGGAACTGAACAGAACTGACCCAAAGTGAACCGAACCAACCCCAAAAAAACAACAAAAGCCAGGGAGCGAAATGACCCGGAGCGTCCCGGGCCGGGGGCGGCCGGCAGGGCCCGGGGGCAGCGGGAACACCCGCCTGGCCCGGCCCATCCCGCTCCCGTCCCATCCCAACCCGTTCCCGTTCCAGTCCCGGTCCCAGTGCCCATCCCGGTCCCGTTCCCGTCCCGGTCCCGCACCGGGCTCAGCAGCAGCAGCAGCAGCGGCGCCAGGAGCCGCCGCATCGCCGACACCGGCACCGGCCCGGGACCCCCCGCTTCGGCCGGACCGAGCCGAGCGGGGCCGGACCGCTCCCAGCCGCCCCGAACCGCTCCGGCTCCGCTCGGTTCGGCCCCGGCCGGCACCGTTCGACCCCGGTTCGGTCCCGCTTCACTCCCGGTTCGGTCCCGTTCGGTCTCGGTTCAGCCCCTCTCGGTCCCGGTTTGGCCCCGTTCTGTTTCAGTTCGGCTCCGCTCCGTCCTGGTTCGGTCCCGTTCAGCTCCCGCTCGGTCCCGGTCCGGTCCCGCCCGGTCCGGTCCCGGTTCAGCCCCGCTCGGTCCCAGTCCCGGTCCGGTCCCGGTTCGGTCCCGTTCGCTCCCGCTCGGTCCCGGTCCCGGTCCGGTCCCGTTCAGCCCCGCTTGGCCCCGTTGGCTCCCGCTCGGTCCCGGTCCGGTCCCGTTCGTTCCCGGTCCGGCCCCTCTCGTTCCCGTCCCGCCCGGGCCGGTCCCAGCTGGGCGTGGCTCCCCCGGGCAGGGCGGGGCGGGGCGCTCCGCCATTGGCTGAGCGCTGCGGGCGGGGCGGGACTCATCTCCAAGCCCCGCCCCTCGAGGAACCTGGGACCGCGGGTTCGAATCCCACCCCGGGCGCTCCCAGCGGGACTGGCCCGAACTGGGACTGTGACCCCCCGCCGCCTCCCCACGGCCCTGCCCCCGGTGAAAAATAGTCTCTGAAAGCGGGAGAAGCAGCTTTATTGACCCCTGGTGGTGCCACAGCGCCCTGGGGTGGGCACAGGGTCTCAGCTGGGTGCAGCGTCCCGACGCGGGTGGGGGGTCTTGGGGTGGGTGCGGGGTGGTGGAGTGGGTGCAGCATCCCACCTTGGCGTGGGTGCAGGGTTTTGCTGTGGGTGCAGGACCCTGACGCGGGTGCGGGACCCCAGCGCGGGTGCACAGCCTTGGGGTGGGTGCAGGGTCTGTAGGTGGGACCCCGATATGGCCCCTGCCGTGGGTGCAGCCCCCCGGTGTGGTGGGTGCAGGACGCTGCCGTGGGCACAGGGGTTTAGCGTGGGTGCGGGGTCTCGATGAGGGGGTCTCATGGGTGTGGGGTCTCATTGTGGGTGCGGGGTCTTTGTGAGGGTGCAGGGTCTCGGTGTGGGTTTGGGGTCTCCAGGGTGTGGGGTCTCCTGGGTGCCTGATCTTGGCGTGGGGTCTTGCTGAGGGTGCAGAGCGTCAGTGTGGGCACGGGGTCTCACGGATGAGGGGGCTTGGGGAGGGCGTGGGATCTCATCGTGGGCGTGGGGTCACGGCGTGGGTGTGGGATCTTGGTGAGGGCACAGGGTCTCATGGTGGCAGGGCTTGGTGTGGGTTAAGGATCTCACTGTGGGTGTGGGGTCCTAGAGAGGGTGCAGGGTCTTGGTGTGGGGTCTCATGATGTGGGGTCTCAATGAGGGTGAGGGGTCTTGATGTGGGTGCAGGGTCTAGATGAGGGTGTCAGTGTGGGTGTGGGGTCTTGGTGTGGGTACAGGGTCTCGTGGGTGCCAGGTTTTGGTGAAGGAACGGGGTCTCCTGGGTGCAGGGTCTCGGTGCAGGGTCTCCATGTGGCTGCAGGGTCTCGGTGTGGGCACATCCCCCTGGTCCCTCTCGTCTCTCCTCACCACCCACGGGTGGGGTGCCAGAGCTCCACCACCTTCCCCCCGGCGTGGACGAAGTACACGGGGTGCATGGCGGCCGTGGCACAGGCCTGGGAGGGGGGGGGAACACTCAGCCGGGCACGGGGGACACGAGGGGGACACGAGCGGGACACGGAGGGGGGACACGGCAGGGCCGGACACTCACGTGGTACGGGATGAGCGCCAAGGTGCTTCCCACCGGGAACCTCTGGAAATCCAGCTCCCCATCCACGGCCTCCACCTGCCCGTGCTCCTGGGTCAGCCCCACCAGCCTGGGGGGGGGACACGGTGTCACCTCTCCCCGTCACATCCCCTCCCGCGGGTCCCCCCCCTCCCTCCACACGCCCCGCGGGGGTCACCTGAGCTGGGGGTGCCCCTCGACGGCGGCGCAGCCCGGGGGTCCCCGGTCGCGGCCGTGCAGGCTCAGGGCCGCCCACCCACAGTCCACCAGCAGCTGCCGGCGGTGGGGGTAGTGCCCGACCACCCTGGTGAGGACGCGGATCGCCACCTCCTCCGGCCGGCACGAGCCCAGCTGGGTCTGCTGCAGGTCTGGGGGGAAGGGGGGGGAGAAGAAAGCGCCTGGATGAGCTCGGGGTGTGTCCCACTCCTGGGGGGTTCAACGGGGCCGGGGGGTCCCGTCCCGCTCACCGTAGAACAGGTAGTTGCCCGGGTGCACCTCGGTGAGCTGCGACATCTCCGGCACCGGGTGGCTGCAGGACGGGGTGGAGCCGATGGTGGCCTCGGGACACGGGATCCCCTCCTGCCGCAGCCTGGGGGGCACGTTGGGGGGGACCCTCTGAGTGCTCGGGGGGGGGGGGGGGACATCCCCCCCAGGGGCCGGGGAGAGGGGCCAGAGGTGGGTCCTTCACCCCTGGGCGCGGCGGGGGACAAGACCGGGGGTGGCTCCTTCGAGTTTGGGTGCCACAGGAGCAGGACCAGGGGTGCTGGTGCCTCAGGGAGCCCCCAGATGTGCCAGGGAGCCCCCCGAGATACTCAAGGGAACCATCCAGATGTGGAAGAGCCCCCCCCCAGTATGTTAGGAAGATCCCAAGATGTACTGGGGAGCCAGCCAGATGTGCCCAAATGCCACCCAGATGTGCCAGGGCATCCCTTCTGATACCCCTGGGACCACCCCCTGATGTGCCCAAGCATCCCCAGATGTGCCAGAAATCCCCCCAGATGGGCCAGGACACCCCCAGATGTGAATAGGAGCCCCCAGATGTGCTCCAGTATCCCCCCACACTATGCCAGAGCATCCTGAGATACACCTGGGCCGCTTCCCAGATGTTCCCAGATGTGCCAAAGCACTCCCAGCCATGCCTGGGACCCCTCCCAGCTGTTCCTGGATGCCCAGATGTGGCAGAGCACCCCCCAGCTGTGCTTGGGACCAGCCCCAGATCCCAGATCCTGCCTGGGATCCCTTGCTGATGTTCCCAGCTGTGCCAGAGCAGCTCCCAGCTTTGGGAAAAAGGGGGAATTTGGGGGGGGGGGGGGTGGCCTCAGTTTCCCTCCCCTAAATCGGTACCACCACGGGCTGGGCTGGGCTGGGGACCCCCAGATGGGAACACCCCTGTTCGTGGGGGGATGGAGGTCCCTGTTTCCCCCCTCCCCTTCCCAGCGGGAACCATCCGGCAGCAAATTCCCTCCAGGATGCGAAACCCCGCTGGGATAAAAGGGCGGGCGAGGAGGAGGGAGGGAGGGGACAATGCCACAGGTCACATCAAAGGTGACATCAAAGGTGCCTGAGCCGCCAACATCCTCCCCGTGCCCCCCGGGGGGGAAGCTTTGAGGGGCTTTTATGGGGGGGTCGTTTACATTTACAACCCAACACCGGGATTTGGGCGGGGGACGGACAAGGATGTGCTCGACCCTCGCTCTCCCAAAATCCCGCGATCCGGGCGCAGGGGACTGACCTGGTGACAAAGGCCAGCACGGCGTTGGTGGTGTCCCTGGCGACCTCCTGCACGGCCGGGATGTCCC